AGTGACAAGTGCGTCTATTACAAATCTGAGAATCGCATTTGTACTATCATATGTCTATATGTAGACGATCTACTTATATTTGGATCAAACATTCAGGCCATTAATGATATGAAATCATTGTTATGCAATAACTTTGATATGAAAGACCTCGGAGAAGCAAGCGTGATCCTGGGTATCAAGATCACGAGATCCGAACAAGGAATTTCTTTGGATCAATCTCACTATGTGGAGAAGATCTTAAAGAAATATAAATACTTTGATTGTAAACCTGCATGCACTCCGTATGATCCAAGTGTGAAACTATTTAAGAACACTGGAGAAAGTGTCAAACAAGCAGAATATGCGAGCATCATTGGCAGTCTTAGGTATGCCACTGATTGTACTAGACCCGACATTGCATATGTCGTAGGACTGTTGTGCAGATTTACAAGTAGGCCGAGTAATGAACATTGGCAAGCTATTGAGCGAGTAATGAGGTACCTTAAAAGGACTATGGACCTCGGCCTACACTATCAGAAATTTCCTGCTGTACTAGAAGGGTATAGTGATGCAGATTGGAACACCTTATCGGATGATTCCAAAGCTACTAGTGGTTATATATTTAGTATAGCCGGAGGAGCTGTATCTTGGAAATCAAAGAAACAGACCATTCTGGCACAGTCCACAATGGAGTCTGAGACGATAGCATTAGCTACAACTAGTGAAGAAGCAAGTTGGTTAAGATGCTTGCTAGCTGAGATTCCTTTATGGGAAAAACCTATACCAGCTGTGTTGATCCACTGCGATAGTACCGCGACTATTGCAAAAGTTGAGAACCGTTATTATAATGGTAAAAGACGTCAAATTAGAAGAAAACATAGCACTGTTAGAGATTGTATCTCTAAAGGAGCTGTGAGAGTGGATCATGTACGCACTGATGAGAACTTAGCAGATCCTTTGACGAAAGGATTAGCTAGAGAGAAAGTCCATAATACATCCAAAAAGATGCTACTAATGCCTATGAAGCAATTAGTTACTCATGATGGTAACCCGACCTAAATGACTGGAGATCCCAAGACTTAGGTTCAATGGGTAATAACAAGTTATGAGTAATATGAAAATGATCATGCAAGTAAAGCATGAATCCTGAAGTAATGAGAGGATGAGATAATAGAAACTCTTAATGAGATCTATACTCTGTATGAGGGAGTACCTAGGCTACAGGAGTACTCTTGATAGATTCACCTATGTGACTGTGGAACTAGGCCGGTTCCTATGGAATTTCGAGGCAGAATTCCTAGAGCATTCACTAAACCGGGATACACGTGCAGGGCCACTAAAGCACGGGCTACAAGAATACACCTTACGGAAAGGTTGTGTGCGGGTCTGATGTCCGAGATAGAGTTCAAGACAATGGTGTCACTCTTGTTGAATCAGAATCCTACTCGCTACGCTAAGGTTCAAGTCGTAGACACCTTTGCTTATGCTCAACCTGAGAAACGTCTGACGTACTTCTAAAATCTCTTTTAAATTCAAGTGGGGGAATGTTGGAACTTTAATTAATTAATGGTGGAACTTTAATTAATTATAGTGGGAATTGGAAACATTTGTTGACAATTAATGAGCAATAAATGAACACAAGTGAGAACTAATATAGAAGTGAATTTGAAAAGATTCATTTTAGTCCCACATTGAAGGGAATGGAAATATTAGTAGTGTTTAGATGAATTATTTTTTGGACCTGAATTTATATAATTTAATTATCATTAATTAATTAATATAATTCGGTGGAAAATTAATTAATAATAAATATTAATTAATTAAGAAAATAATTGGTCAGTCAGTCCTCCACGAATTTCTCAGTCTCCCACCATTTTCTCCACTCCCCACGAATTTCTCAGTCTCCCACCATTTTCTCCACTCCCCACGAATTTCTCCCCACTCAGGTGCAGTTTGCTGCCTATAAATACAGGGTAGAAATTCAGAAGTGGGTACATCGGATTTCACAAATTCACACGAATTTTGATTTCCCTCTTCTCTTTCTTATTTCTCTTCATCTCAAAAACTCTCTTTTCTTGACTGGTTATTTTCACCAGATACTTAGACAGGTGTATTTCTAGAGCGATTCATCAGTGTGCAACTGATAATCGTAAGTTGTTTGAACGGGCTGTTTTATCCTGAAGGCGTCGTCGTAAATTCGACTGCTTTGCATAATTTGGTGGCAGTACGGCGAAACGTCTTAAAGAAAGCGACCTAGTACGCGACTCGTCCCGATAATTTCCTTGTGCTAAACTTTAATTTTCAGATCCGAAGAACAACATATATAGTAGTGTGTTTATGAGTTGATGTCTTTAATAAGGCGGAGTTGTTTGACTATTGATGGTTATGACGCAGAAATGTGAAATTTGGATAATTGTGTATGATTGTCTGTGGTTGTTGATCTGTGTGTTTTTTTGGGGAAGTTAGAACTCAAATAGGCGAGTTTTAAATATGTTTAATAGGGAGGAAAAATGCGAAAAATTTTAGGTAGACATGGAAGGGGATTGACCACCTTGTTTCAGTCATAACTTAAGTTTCATAAGTCCATTTGAGGTGTCGTCAATTGAGTTAGAAAGTTGACACAATAATCTTTCTTTTGAAATGAGAACGTTGGCCCTAGGAGCGCTACAACAATAGTCGTTCTCTAGTTTTTATATCATAGGCGTAGTCAAATTTCAGTTATCCATTGGTCATCTTGTTTCACGCGTAACTTGAGTTTCGTAAGTAAGTTTCAGTAAGGTGTTGTCAGTTGCGTTAGAAAGAGAGTTTAACGATCTTTTAAATTGGAGAGTTTATAATTTTATTATAAGTCTATAACTTTTTGTGCTATTTTGAAGTCAGACATTCTGTTTTAGAATTTTAATTGTGTGATTGATCAAATTGTATCTAGAACATTGAGTTTTGAGTAGTTTTAATTGTGTGATTGATCAGGTTGAACACTAGAGTTGAGTCTATAGCCTTTTGACATTATGGAGTTGATTTTGAGTAATATTTTTATTTGTTTAAGGCTACCAAGTCAAAAGATGTTGAATTTTGAGTTGTTGAATAGTTTAGATTAAGATTATTGAGTTGTTAGAACTAAATTTGAGTACTATAACATATTTAGAGTTGTGTTGACGAATACTAAGTTAAGACTAGAGTATATTTATAAGACTCTGATTAGTTATGAGTTAATTGTAAAGGCTGTGTAATTATGTGTTTACCTTGTCGATAAATAATTGTGAATATTTATATAATTATGTTAATTTGAGATGTAATTACATATCATGTTATAATTTTTTTTAAATACATATTTAAAAAATGAGAAAAAAAAAATCTACCGACAATAATCAGTCACGAACGTATATCTCGTCAAGTCAAAGTTTAATTTTAAAATATTAATATGACATAGCATAATATTATAAATTTATTAGATAATTGTGTAAAATTAATTTATACTAATAGTGCACTACCTTTAATCTCTTAGAAAATAATCTTTTTTACATAAATTCAAAATGTATTTAAATATTTATATTTCTTTTACCAAAATTTAAATATTTATATTTTAAAACAATTAATTTATGAAAATGCACCGGAGTGTTCACCAAGTTTTAAATTACTAAAAGATTTGCGTTTAGAGTAGCAAAGAGAACTCGGGTACCGTCGTCTTCTCCGATTCGTTTTCGGTTCTGCAATTCACATACCAACATACCATAATACCGAAATCAATTCGATAACCATAGCCTCTCGCGATTTGGTATGATGTCATCTTCCATTGTTTGAATCATGAATCTATGCTTCTTTTTTTTTTTGTACTTTGTTGATGTATAATTCATGACATTTAGTTTCAATCAATTGATAAGTATGAATGATTTATTGTATATGATCACTGATCAGTTAATTTTAATTGATTAAAAAGTAGCAATTCGTCATAACCATGTTTTGGTGTCCCTGATTTTTCTATTTCTATAGTTATTATTTTTTGTTTACTTTGTTTTTTTTAAACCCTAAACATTTTGTTTAAGTTTATATAAAATGGAAGAGTGCTTTGTTTGAGAAGCTGAAACTTTGTTGTTGATAGTTTTACATTGATTTCTGGCTGTATCTTGTTAGATGGTCTTGCAATTTGTCAAATAATAGCCATAGTGGAGTTATAGCTATTGTGAAATTTTAACAAACTTCTATTGTTTCGCGATGTTGGCCTCACGTTGCACTTAGATATTTTAAAACAAACGGATCAGAGCGGAATGGAACTAAATATACTAGAGATCTCATTTTATTGTTTGGATAATTTACGAAAGTTTCTCATTCCGCTCAATTCGGAAGAGAAGAAAAATGGTGGTAACTTGTAAGTGATAAAATGGAATGAAATGTTAATAGATATCACTCCATTTTGTTCAGCTCTATCTGATTTCAACTCATCCAAACAATGTGATTTTATTATATTTCTTCTCATATCGCTCCATTCCATCGGTTCAAACAAAGTAAGTGTTGTCAAATATATTATTTAGGCTATACAATCAATGCTGTAAAACTGTAATGCATTGGAATGTGAACAAATTGTTTTTTTTTACAATCCACAATTAACAACATTGAGTTTATCCTATAGATGTCTGGTGATGTAAACCTCACACTCGCATATTCTGCATGAGATGATGTGGTATGAGTCAAAGATTGAATGTTGTTATAATGAAAGTTGTGGTTTTTAATTGTGGGGCAACTCTCACTTCATGTACTAGCTTTTGGGGTTGGGTTAGGAATTAAATACAAATTCTAAGATTCATATGACAGTGTTGCTCTCTGCAAGTATATAATTTATTTGTCTCTGCGTGTGAATAGAACTAAGCATATTGTGTTCAATAGACAATCTTAAAGTTTTGTTTATGTGCCCCATTCAATCTTCAAGCATGTTGGTTATCATTAGCCTTGTCACGTTACATAATTTACTTTTTTTCTGACAGTGATTTCATTGTAACTGCAAATTGTGGACTCAAGCAACTGTAATGGGTATAATCAGGAGGTTCTTCTCTTTTATAGCGGGGAATGTAGTTGGGATATATGTGGCTCAGAATTACCAAGTTCCAAACATCAAGAATGTAGCTGACACTTTCTTGTTAAAGGCCAAGGAATTCGAGGATAAATACCGCAAACCTAACAAGAAAGGTGGTAATGATGGTGATTAGAAAATTTGATCTTCTTTGAAACTACAGTGGAATCAGGTTCTGGTTTTAGGATTTTTTTGGGGGTGATTTGCCCTCCATTATATAGATACTGACACATATTAGTTAAGGTCTCTAAAGTAGTGTTCTTCTTCACATATATAAACATGTTCATTATTCAAGGGAATTGTTGTCAAATTTTTTTGTCGTTGTTCTAAACTTTACTTGTGAAATACTTAGATTCTTGAGTCTTAGATAGTATGTTAACTCTAGGATAGAAATTTGTTTTGTTGTGATTGGAATTGTAGCTAATATCCCAGGGAGTTTTCTTTCCACAGTATCAAATGTTATTGTTAAATTGATCTTTCAATTTGCTTAGTGATGATATCTGATTGACGCTTGTTATTTCAAAATGCTATACTTTTTATTAGATAGGAATTCCGCCTTCCGCCTTCATTGCAGTCCAACTCCAGCCGCCTAAGTGTGACATTTGGGCTGCCTTCTTTGTATTGGGTGTAAAAGAGTGGGTTTAGTCTTAAATTGTTTAGAGATACGGCATGTGTAGTGTTTACAAAATTTGGGCAGCTCTCACCTTATAGTTTTTAAGGTTGGATTAGGCTCAATCTAAATTTTACAATGATAATAGAGTTTCTTTCAAGTTTGTTGGGTCATCTGCTATTAGATTTCTACTCTTAGACCACTTGGTTCACACATATAGAGTCTACCCTAAATCCGTTGGACTTCTTGCATCGTCCACGCTTGAGGCTCATTGGGACCTGAACGTGCGGTTTGCTCCAGTTATCGATAGCGGCCACTATTTGTTGTTAAGCGGGTAGCGGGAGCGAATCGCTTCTGGGCCTGAGTGGGTTTGAAGTGTGTTAAACTCAAAAACCCAGATTTACTCTTGAAATAAATAAACGTTTGAGGAGTTTTGTGGAATTTTTCCAATTTTCCCCAACTCAACACAAAACAGAGGATTGGATCTTCTTTTCACACGTTTTTCTTCATTTTTTAGAGTTTTCTTCTCATGATCTTCGTCCCAGTTTTTCTCTTCTTTCTTTTCTTTGTTACTCTATTTTGCAAGTCATCTTTTGTTTTTCTTTCTTCCTTTTCTCTTCTTCCTTCTTTCTTTATCTTCTTTATTCATATTGCCCCATTTCTCTTCTTCCTTCTTTCTTTATCTTCTTTATTCATATTGTCCCATGTTTTTTTAATACTCTATTTTGACTGTTCTTTTATTTCAAAGAATAGTCATTTAATAACTACTCTATTCATCTCCTTCTTTTGTTTGTTCGATGTTACATTAAACGTATGTTTTATAAATTATTTATATGTTTAGTCTAAAAAATTGTCAAATAGCGGCTATTCCGCTACCACTCCGCAGGTTGTCTTCATTGTAACTTAAGGTTAGACCTAATAACAAAATATGTGTAATGTAATGCACAAAAGAAGACAATTAAGTAATTTGTTGGCTTAATTCTTATTGGATAATTAAATTAGCTAAGCTCCTTGTAATCCCCTTCATCAAATCAGTGTCTGCAATCTAATCAGAGGCAGATTAATGAAGAGTTCTTTTGCTCCGTTTGGTTGGCTGCTTGTTGAGTATTATGACTTTGTCGAAATGCAATTTTGTTGGATGGTAGCTTGAAGGGGGTTAAGGGAAGTGGTGGAGTTAACGAAGCTTTTTGACATGGGATTGGTGCTTAGTGAGATAAAAAGGATCCTGAAGATTGTTCAAAAGTATATTGTATTTTCAGTTGTTTGGATGTGTCATAATATTCTCATTGTAATCGAGTACACCTTAGGGATAGTAATTGACCTCATTTATGTGGGACATCCGTAAAAATTACTCTCAATAATTATGATAAAAATCTGCAAAACCCATTATGTGGGACCCCATTTGTTTGTTTGTGCTTTAAAAAATGAATTTCATAAAACTAATTTTTAAAATATTACAATTTTTTATATATTTATTTAAATTTAATGGTTAATTTTAATATCCTATAACATAGGGGTGTCTAAATTCAAACCTATCAAAATAAAAATTACAAATTGATTAAAAAAAAAGAATATTATTGGATGTGTTTGGATGATATTTTGCAAAACCCATTAAGTTAGGATTGGATTTCGGATTGACTTTTTGAAAGTGATTCAAACCGATCCGCGGACGCTCTTGCTATAACATAAATATCTACTTTTAATATATAAAAGTTAATTACCGCCATAATTACTTAATTACCCTAATTACAATCTATAATATAGCTAATTTCATGTTCCTATAAGTAATTTCATGTTAAACTCTATTTAATACTCTTACTAACCCTACTATTTTGCAATTTAATAAATTTGCCTCGACAACATAAAGAAACGCCTTTTTTATTTCTTGCACGCCGAAAATTTCCTTGGGAACACAACAGTCTTCACGCCTTCTTCTTCAAGAATGCTGCTAATCAATTCGATGTTATATATGTGTAACATCGGATTCTTTTCAGCATTTTGCCAATCCTTCTACAATTCTCTCTCCAACAAATGTACGTTTTAACAGATTTATACATTTTCACCATTTTTTTCTTTATCTTTTTTTTTTCCAAGTTATTAAGTTTGTAATTTTATAGTCATCTAAATTTGCAGTTACATTAATTTTTGAATTTTTTTCCAGTGAAAATGAGTAGAAAGGTTGATTCTGTGAAAGACATCAATGACTCAAAAGAAACTTGGCGTCTTGTTGTTCGAATAATGGATGTTTGAAGTGTTGTGAATAATAAGGGTATTGAACATTTGGAGATGATTGTTATGGATTCTTTGGTAAATTGCTTTTCTTTTTTTAAGTATAGATTTTTGTATGATAGTTAGTAATTATAACAAAATGCTTTTTTGTATAACATATAAAAAGAAGATTATTTTTATTTTGTTAGGGTGATCGGATTCAGGTCCTTATTCGTCATGACCATTTACTGAAATAGAAAGAGGTCATTAAGGAGAATATGACCTGCATTATAAACAATGACAGTGTCTATAACAATGATTTTCAGTGGAAGGTATGTGATCATTCAAAAAAAATTGTGTTTCTTGGTGGTACCACAATGAAGGCAATCGAACTTCAAAATATTTCACCTAAAGGATATTTCTTTAAAGATTTTGGTGAGATACTTCAAGGCAAATGCAAAACCGATAGACTAGAAGGTAATTTAAATTCTATTATAACTTATATAACTTATATATTTGCAAACACATTCAATAATGAATCTTACTTTAATGTAGATATTATTGGTGCTGTTAGTGAGATAAACCATATCCAATCCAACACTCCGGGGAAGAAAGTTGTTGTTTCTGTTGTGCTGAAAGATTTGAAGTAATGTGCATTGTTTTCATAACTTATGTGTTTGATAAATTTATATATTTTGCATCACTGAATCCCATCATATAATATTGTTTATTTATATTGCAAAATAGGGGTAATTGCATAAATTGCAATTTATGGGAAATCTATGGATCAAAATTTTTGGCTTACTACAATGATCCTAAAAACAATGGAGCTATTGTAATTCTGCTCACTCATGCAATGGTAAAAGATGGCCAAGGTATTACACTATCAGACTTTATAAATACATAGCTGATTTGTATTTTTCATTATACGTTCAATAATTTTTATATTAATTATACAATTTACAGTGTCAAATGCATGGAGTGGTTCCAAATTGTTGATAAATGAAAACATCCCTGAAATTCAAGATTTTATGTCTAAGTATGAATTTTATTTATTTACTTATATTCAGATTATTATACAGAATTTTTAATTTAAAAAACAATCTTATTTCTATAGGTTGCCTACTAATGAACAGAAGGAGAAGCCTACTCAATCTGCAAAATCTCTTTCTAATTGATCTGGTGGTTCTCAGTATTCGCCAGTAGAAAGGTTTGTTCATAATGCGAAATGTATGTCCTTAAGTCAGTTCTGCAAAATCAAACCTGTAAGTTGAATACTATAGAGCCGAATTTATCTTTACTATTACAATTATATTGTTTGCTTTTTGAAATTAATATCATTTTTTATTTGCTTTTAGGAAACTTTATGTGTTACTGTAGCAACCACATTGAAATTCGCTGTCTCAAAGTATGGATGGTTTTATTATGGCTGCACAAAGTGTTCTTCGAAGGCACCTAATCCTGAAAAAGCTTATGAATGTTCATGTGGGCAAAAAGTCGAACAACCCATACCAAGGTACATAAAATCTAGATGAATTGCAAATAAATTTGGTAATGGATTTGTTATTAATCATATTATTTTCTTCGTTTAAAATACTATAGGTACAAGATTGAGATATATGTTAGCAATGGTGAATCAAAATATCGATTTGTATTCTGGGATTCCGAATGTGCTGCTATACTTGGAATGACAGCTGAATTTATGCATAACTCTATGGTGGAGGTACATTGTTATACATAAGTTAAAATGTTAATAGTATATCGAGTTGTAAAGTTCAGATTATCACTCATGATTGATATTTTATTTTTCCATTAGAATGGAGAAGATGATCCAATGGTTTATCCTGATGAGCTTGAAATGCTGTTGAATAAGAAAATGGCTTTTAGAGTTAAGGTGCAGCCAACGTTTTCCCAAGCGTCTGTTTGGAAGCTTTGTGATGATGAAGCCTTTGTTAAAGAGATTGAAAATGACTACATAGTAGAAGAGGTATAATATTCACTTAATTCATGTATTATTTAAACATTTAACAAGTATAATAAATATTCGATGTTTCAATGTGCAGAATCAGTCTAAAACTGAATATGCAAAGGTGGTCCCTAACAAGGAAAATTTGGAAACTTCCGTAGTAAGTATCTTCATTTGTTAACATAATAATTTGCTATGATAAATATTGTATTATTATAATTCATTTTATATCTGACAATTAATTTTTTATATTGCAAGCAAACATTATCTGCATCTGGTGAAAATGATCCATAATCAATCATTCTAATGACTCTGGCTAAGGATGTTGTAATTACTGACAAGGGTGAAGAAGTTGATTTTGAAGCGTCTGGCGCTACGCAATTATCAGGCACCAAACCATCCAAAAAAGTAAAGATAGAACCATCTTCTTAATTAGAATTTTCGGAAATTTGATATTGAAATATCTTTTATGTACTTTTTAGCACCATAATGAGTTTAAGTATGAAGTTGTTAAGAACATGATATGTTTTGGTTGTAGGATGTGTTCTTACTTTTTTGAAATGTTTATTTTGTGGGATTACAATTGACATTTATATTTCATGTATGGTTTAAAGGATGATAATGAGTATTTAATTCATGTGTGTGAAATTATTCAAAATCCTATGTTGTTATGTTGAACATTGTGTTTTGTGTGTTCTTTCCACTACAAAATTTATATGAGTATCATATCTTCAAATGTTAATAAGTATTTTAGATTGATAACAAAATACGTTGTCATCTTATGAAATATGTGTATACGACTAAATTATAAATAGATTATTGCATATCATGTTTGGTTTCAGCATACCTAATGGTGTTAGAAATTAAAAAAACAATTACATAAAAATTTATTATGAAATCCTTCAAAACTAATTATAGAAAACACATAGAAACACATTTTTTTACAATTTTTTTTCAAAGTCTAATACATATGTTAAAATTGCAGGTAGTTCAGAAATGTTGGAGCAATGTTTGAATCTTGCATTCAACTGAATTAAGGATTTATAAAAAAAACAAGGTATAATTATCATATACAATGAATTGTCTTTTGATTGGTAATGGAAAATCTACATTGTTTGTTTGAAATGATTAAGTTAAGCATGCAATTATATTTTTTACCAATCTCACGTCATCATATATAGCATTATAACTCAACATATTTAAATTATTTATTTGCCAAAATTTAGTTGGGTGTTGAAATGAATAATTATGTCCACGGCCTCCTTTCTACTGGCTAGGTCAGTGGAGTATTAAAATAATTCAGCCGTAAGATAATTAATGTTATGCATGATTTGTAATAAATCAATAAGAATATCAATTCTTTATACATTTAGTTGTACAAGAAAATGACTGTAAATAATTAAGGTAGATTAAGAAAATGGGCCCTACTAAATCCCACTATATATTATATAAAATATAATTAAAAAATTGATTCAAATATATCAAAATACATTAAAAGAGAGTTTTTCATTGGGTAAGGTGATGTATGATATGAGTAATTTCCAATGGGTGAATTATTTTATGGATTTGGGATAAAAAGAGAATTTTGAAAATTTGAATTATGGTGTGGATTTGGAATAAGAGGTGGATTTCCAAAATATGGGGTGTTTTGTTGATTTGGGATACAAAGAGGACTTCCATCATTTTGCATAAAATTGGAGCATGTGTTATGTTGATTGAGGTTCATTTTCAAATGAAATGTGTACACAAAAAAATTAAAATTAAATAAATTAAATTGGTCAAATTTAGACTAGATGTGAGTGAAAAATGTGATAAAATAAATTACCTATTTATACTACTAAAAAATATTACCGTTATTTTATTGATATTGCAATCTTATCATTCCAAAATGAAATCAATATCTTGAAATCAAATTAGTTATTATTGTAGTTTTTTTGCCAAATATTATCGTTGCTTAATTTTCTTTAAATGACAAAATGAATTTTTTTTAATAATAAATATTACTGTTATTTTATTGTTGTTGCAATCTTATCATTCCAAAATGAAATCAATATTCTGAAATCAAATTAATTATTATTGTAGTTTTTTTTGCCAAATATTATCGTTACTTGATTTTCTTTAAATTAATTTTTTTAATAATAAATATACTGATTTTTTAAGTGGTCTTTCTGAGATGTCAAACCGAGAATATGAAAAGAGGGAGAAGTAATATGAAACAGTTTGATGAAAATTAGGGTTTTATTTAATTGAATAAATAGATATTATTATTATTAATATTGTTATTTATTAATATTTATTATCATCATTACTAATCTCATTTACCCACTTAATAACTCAAAATATTTCAAAACCACTATTCCAAAACCACTGACAATATTATACCATTTTAAATGTAATGGATACAGATATGCAACTTCCAATACACGTGTTTCAACCCTAAAAAATCAGTATATCCACACCTTTCACTTCAATATTTTTTGCTTATATTTGAAGCAAACTTTTTCAAAAGTAATCATCATTAATGCTCTACTTTAACATCACATCAAACTTATATCTATCATATTTTTCAATAAAGATAGAAACCAAATCTGAATAATATAATATTAATTTTTTTTCAATCTAACAAATTTAATTCATTCCCCTATAAGATTACTAAAATACAATTTTAAATTAATTTCAGGTACAATATTCTGTTTGGATTCATATATTTTTAAAAAAAAATCATTATGTAATTGCGATTTTTATAAATTCATTTTGTACATTGACAATATTTTTTCTTAATACTGTTTTATTCTTACGTTGACAATATTTTTTCTTACCTATTTATACTACTAAAAAATATTACCGTTATTTTATTGTTGTTGCAATCTTATCATTCCAAAACAAAATCAATATCCTGAAATCAAATTAATTATTATTGTAGTTTTTTTTGCCAAATATTATCGTTGTTTGATTTTCTTTAAATGACAAAATGAATTTTTTTAATAATAAATATTACCGTTATTTTATTGTTGTTGCAATCTTATCATTCCAAAATGAAATCAATATCCTGAAATCAAATTAATTATTATTGTATTTTTTTTGTCAAATATTATCGTTGCTTGATTTTCTTTAAATGACACATTGAATTTTTTAAATAATAAATATGAACCACTTAAATTGTAGGAGCTTGTGTTTCTTTATGGACATTGTAAATGAGAGAACGTTGAAAAATATCAAATATCCAAATGGTTCTGACACAACAACATCGGTAAATGTGTAGGAACTTGGGAAAACTATAGATAAACATGCTCTAATGAAATCCCTTTAGGTTTTACGCCTATATTAATACATAGGCTGATGAAAAACTTTTCATTTCCCTATATTACACATATCCACATGTTACATAATTGTCAATTATTTTGGAGGGAATAGACGAATTTTCGTACCAAATATATATATATATATATATATATATATATATATATATATATATATATATATATATATATATATATATATATATATATATATATATATATATATATATATATATATATATATATATATATATATATATATATATATGATGGAAATGATCTATTCTTAACATATACCTTATATATTATATATTAGCATTTCAAGTATTGTTCCAAATTCAAGAAATGAACTTATCATGTTGAATGAGCAAAAGCTGTAAGAAAACTAAAGTCATGGCAATGTAAGTTATGTTTTTTATCAGGTATGTGAACATTTGATATTTTTATTCACTATAAAATTATATATCTTTTGTTTTATTTATAATGATGAAGATATATAATATCTGTTATATATGTGTAATTTTTTCAGATGTATGATCAAGTATGATCATTTTGAATTATAGAGCCTGAGTGAGTGCTATAATAAAAAATATTCAAAATGGTAGATGAAGAATTACATTTTAAAACTATTTTGAGGAGGAAGAATGCTGCAAAAGCCAGAATTTATAGAAAGAGTGTTATTGATGACAAGAAATCTAAGAGGTTGAAAACTGCTCTAAAAGAAAACGGTACATTTGATAAAAGACGCGGCAATGACTCAACAACTTTGAGGATACCACTATCAGAACTTTTGCCAAACATACTAAATGACGGTCGTGGTATAGCCAACGTTGAAGTAAGTCGTCAACTTCATTCGTCCTTAAAGACTAAGCCAAGTACCAATAATAATATCAGATCAAAAAGGATATCAAGCAGAAACATTACCAAATTAGGAGTTAACTTATCTAAGAGGTTTGACAATACATTTGCTACAACAACATCAAACCAAGATCCAATACTAGAATTGCAACTCAATGAGCTTTTTGCATCTGATAGTGGAGACGATAAAATGAATGATGAATCTGACGGTATATTCTTAATTATTTTTTATTTGAGTTAATTTGTTTATGATATGTCATAGAATATTACAATATTCTTAACACAATAAATGTTATGTCAAAAGGTTACAGTTCAGCAACAAATTCAAGTTTTGATGAAGATGAAATGTCTAATGGAACAGATGCTATGGAAACTTTTGAAATTAAATCAGGTATTTTAAAATGATTTACTATAAATAATATTTTATTATTATGAAATACAACTCATTTAACATATGAATTAAATACTATTGATGATCAGGAGGGTATTATGATATAGGGGATCTTGTCATTGAATGTCAATATGTTGGTGCTAATATGTGGTATTCGGAAAGGAAAAACAAATGTCGTCATGCGTCCAATCCTAAATTTTCCATGTGTTGTGGATCAGGAAAAGTTCAGTTACCTTTGTTAAAACCCGCTCCTGAAGTTCTACAACATCTGTTTTTTGACAACGAATCATGTGAATCAAAAAAATTCCAACAACAAATTCGAATGTACAACGTTATGTTTGCATTTACATCTCCCGGTGCGAAAGTAGACAATCGATTTAAAAACGGTAGATGTCCTCCCAATTTTCGTATCCAAGGTCAATCATGTCACCGAATAGGAAGCATGTTACAGATGCCAGGTCAAAATCCACGATTTGCACAACTATATGTTTATGACACTGAGAATGAAATTGAAAACAAAATGCATGGATTCAGGTTAGATATCTATTATTTTCCAAACTATAAATTTATTTATTTAAGAAACCTGCAATAAACTGTTTCAACTCTTTTCATTATAGGTCAAAAAGTGGAGTTGATGTTAATATTGTGAGAAAACTATCTGAAATGTTATATGAACATAATGTTCATGCACAATCATTTCGCATGGCAAATGACAGACTTTGTGAAGAAGGTGTTTCTGATTTAAAACTTTGTTTAATATCTGAACGAAGAAATGATGGAAAGATATATAATCAACCAATTGTATCCGAAGTAGCTGCTTTAATTGTTGGAGATGTCGACACTGCAGAAAAAAGAGACATTATAGTGCAAAAACAATGTGGCGAACTTCAAAGGATAGATGAGTATCATACCAGTTATTTAGGATATCAGTACCCATTATTATTTCCATATGGTGAGGATGGATATAGACCTAATGTGAGGCACCGTGATAAAGGGACAGATATTCACCACTTCACAGACATAACACAGTCAGAACAGAACAATAAAGATATTCCTTGGGAAGAAGCAACAAAGCGAAATCGACTTACAATAAGAGAGTGGTTGGCCTTTAGAATTCAATCAAGATCTAATGAAGCATAAACATTGTTACGATCAAGGAGACTTTATCAACAATTTTTTGTAGATGGTTTTACAATGATGGAATCAGAAAGACTTAGGTGGCTTCGAAAGAATCAGTCAAAACTGAGGGTTGGCAAGTATCACAATTTGAATGAATATAATTCAAATGGAGAAACGCACAGGTCAAACACAGGTAAGAGGGTTGTGCTACCTTCTTCATACGTTGGTAGTCGTAGATATATGGATCAACTATACTTTGACGGAATGGCAATATGCAGCTATGTCGGATTTCCAGATCTTTTCATTACATTCACATGTAACCCCAATTGGCCTGAAATTCAACGTTTGCTTGGTTCTGTTCATCTAAAAGCATCAGATCATCCTGACATCATTTCAAGAGTCTTTAAAATGAAATTTGATGAGCTTTTGTCTGATCTCACAAAGAAAAGTCTATTGGGGAAAGTTCTTGCATGTGAGTAACGTATTCCATATTCAATTAATCGTATTGTTATTTTCAAATTTATCATTCGTGTGCTGACTATTGTATATATTTTATATATTTATTTTTATAGATATGTATACAATTGAGTTTCAAAAGAGAGGATTACCACATGCTCACATCTTAATTTTCCTCCATCCATCTAACAAATATCCAACTCCAAGTGATATTGATCGCATTATTTCAGCTGAAATACCTGACCAAGATACCAATGAAGAGTTGTATAATTTGGTTAAAACTCACATGATTCATGGCCCGTGAGGATTTGCAAATCGATCTTCACCGTGCATGAAAGATGGAAAATGTTCTAAATATTTTCCAAAACAATTTCAGCCCGAAATAATTGTTGATCAAGATGGGTTTTCGGTATATAGAAGAAGGGACAACGGACATACAATTCTTAAGAATGGAATTCAAGTCGATAACCGGAATGTTGTTCCATACAATGCAAAGTTGTTGACAAAGTACCAAGCTCACATAAACATGGAATGGTGAAATCAAAGTACATCGATTAAGTACTTATTCAAGTACATCAACAAAGGTTACGACAGAATCACCGCTGCCATTGTATCGAATGATGATGGAACTTCCAACCAGCCGCAGAATATTGATGAGATCAAACAGTATATTGATTGTAGGTACGTTTCTAATATATCACTTGAAATATGATGTCATGCAATTTATCTATTCAACTCAAAGTGAGCAATTTTTCTTTACATGCAAGGTGTAGAAAATTTTATATGTACACTGTTTTGACTATATGTGTTATAATAAAATTTATATATTCTGTCTACAATAATCATTCTATTAATTTTAAATCCATTGCCTTTCATTATATTATTTGTAGGTACGTTTCTCCGAGTGAAGCATCTTGGAGGATATTCTCCTTTCCAATCCATGATAGAAAACCAGCTGTTGAGAGACTGTACTTTCATTGTGAAGGTCAAAATTCGGTATATTACACTGATTTTGATCGTATCAATAGAGTTCTGGAAAAACCAAGTGTAACTGAATCGATGTTTGCATCATGGTTCGAAGCAAATTGCAAGTATCCTGAAGCACAAAATTTAACTTACAGCAAATTTGTTTATGTTAAGAAAAAAAGAGAATGGAAACCCCGTCAAAAAGGTTACGCAATTGGTAGTCTTATATGGGTTCCTCCAACAACTGGCGAATTGTACTATCTTAGATTGATGCTCACACATGTCAAAGGCCCCCGCAGTTATAATGATATAAAAACAGTGAATAACGTAAAATATGATACTTTCCAGGATGCCTGTTTTGCTATGGGTTTTATTGGCGATGATAGAGAATTCATTGCAGCTATTAAAGAGGCAGATCATTGGGGTTCAGGTCAATATTTGAGATTACTATTTGTTCACATGTTATTATCAGGCAGCATTAACAGGCCAAGACATGTATGGAGTAAAACATGTCATCTCTTATCTGATGGAATACTATATGCTCAACAGCGAATTGCAAACAATAGAGGTATTATTTTTTCTATATTGTGAATTTTTATTATATTTATTTGTTTGATTCTTAAAAGTAAATTTGTTTTATATTTTACACTTATAATTACTATTGTATAAAGGTTTGAGGTTGTCGGATGAAGAGATAATGAATTTAACATTAATTGAGATTGAGCGAAATCTTCAAAGGAAGAGTCGAAGTCTAAAGGAATTGGCTGAAATGCCTTATCCAAGTGGATATGTGGTTGAGCAGTTGGGAAATAAGCTCATATACGAAGAGTGGATTTACAATCCAGCCGAACAATTGCAAGAATACAATAATTTGTTCTTAAATCTTACAGGTAAATATGTTAAATGTTTGTAAGTTTTGTCATAATTTTATAAAGTTAACTTTTAAAGTATGATTTTATCTTACAATTTTTTTAATGTATAATTAATTTATTCGCTGCATGTTTGCTATGTATTTTTTTTAAATTAGATGAGCAAAGAGGTGTATTCAAGCGAATAATGGAAGCAGTAAACAATCAACAAGGAGGCGTATTTTTTTTTATGGATACGGTGGCACAGGGAAAACCTACATGTGGAGAACTCTAGCTTCCTACATAAGATCAAAGAAACAAATTTTTTTAATTGTTGCTTCATCGGGCATAGCTTCACTACTACTTCCAGGAGGTCGAACGGCTCATTCAATGTTCAAGATTCCAATACCTACAATGGAGTCTTCTACATGTAATATCGACAAAGGTAGTGATCGTGCAAAGCTACTAAAAATGGCAAAGTTGATAATTTGGGATGAAGCTCCAATGGCACACAGATTTTGTTTTGAAGCGTTTGATAAAACCCTTAAAGACATAATGGGGCGTTCCAATTGTTCTGACAAATTATTCGGAGGGAAAGTAATTGTATTTGGTGGAGATTTTCGGCAAATATTACCAGTTGTACCAAGGGGCAGCCGTTCAGATATAATACATTCTACAATAAATTCATCATACATCTGGGATCATCGTGTTGTGATGAAGCATACAAATAACATGCGACTCCAACAAGTCGGCAATACTTAAAGTGCATTTGAATTAGAATTATTTTCTAATTGGATATTAAAAGTTGGCGATGGGAAATTGGAAGAACCTAACGATGGTTACACGAATATTCCTATTCCAAATGATTTCTTAATTTCTAACTATGATGATCCACTAGAAGCCATTGTTAGTGAAACATATCCGAATTTTATTAACAATTACAAGAATCCAGAATTTTTGCAATCAAGAGCTATATTGGCAGGAACAATTGAAACGGTTGACATCATAAATCAATATGTTTTGGGATTCATACCAGGTATGCGTTATCCATTGTAAACATATTTATAGATACATTCATATATTTATACGTACTAACATAAATTTATAATAATAAAATTTCAAAATTTTTCCCAAAGGTGAAGAAAAGGAATATTTAAGTTCAGATTCTGTAGACACTTTTGACGGTGAAGGAAATGAAGCTTTTGATGTTTGGACCCCGGAATTTTTGAATACACTTACAACTTCCGGTCTACCTAACCACAAGATTAAATTGAAGATTGGGACCCCTATTATGTTGCTTCGAAACATTGATCAATCTGAAGGTCTTTGCAATGGAACAAGGCTTATAGTTACAAGATTGGCAAACCACGTTATCGAGGCAAAGATTATATCTGGAAAGAATATTGAAGGGGTTATCTATATTCCAAGAATGGATATGACTCCAACACAATCTTTGTGGCCATTCAAAATGACTAAAAGGCAATTTCCCATAACTATATGTTATGCTATGACAATTAACAAATCTCAAGGTCAGTCATTGGATTGTGTTGGATTGTATTTGCCTAGAAGTGTATTTAGTCATGGTCAACTATATGTTGCAATATCAAGGGTCAAAAGCAAAAAAGGGCTTAAGATATTAATCCATGACAAGGATAACCATCCATTGAATTCTACAACAAACGTCGTGTTCAAAGAAGTTTTTGAAAACTTATAGAACGTAAGTTTTTCATTAGTTTTATTATATCAACAAATGTCGTTGTTTATTATTAAAATTTTATTGAATGAGTTGTATAAAATATACATTATGTTTTAACATTTGTTTATATGGATGTAATTGTTTTTTACAAGGTAATGAATCATCACTTCCTAAAAGGTTGCGGGCAGGTTTTGTATAAACCCAGTTTTTTAAGGACCAAAGAATTGTACGAAGTTAAATCATTTTTGTTGCTGGACTTATTTCTCACAATTTTAACTAAAATTGTGAACCTTTTATTTCAATATCTTTTGTTGCATTAAACCTTACTGTATCAATTGCAATTAATTTCAACATTTGGTAGTATTCATTACTATATTTTAAAACAAATGAGCTTCTGGTATTTCTTTTACATGGCTTATGTATTTTGGTTAAATAATCATTTATTATGAAGGTTAATATTTGCGCTTTTATACCTTAAATTAGTAACAGATTGGAAAATTTCATCCATTACTAAATAAATATATTTTTATTTCTTATGTGAGTTATGTCCAAAATCTCAATGATAAATGGAATGTTTATTCATAACATTAACAATGGAATGTTTATTATATATCAATATACCAATAAATTGTAAAAATATTTTTGTATTATATTTTTTGATTACTTCCTTAATATAGTATACAAAAAAATTAAGCAAATTATATTACTATAAACTAATAATGTTTTACTTTATTATGTCTCAAACTGAAAAAAGTTATTTGTGGAAATTTTTTGAACCCATTTATTGATCATTTAACATCCATTACATTACAAAAAACTCTTATACAATAAATTTGTGTACGTTGATCCAACTATATATATATATATATATATATATATATATATATATATATATATATATATATATATATATATATATATATATATATATATATATATATATATATATATATATATATATATATATATATATATATATATATATATATATATATATATATATATATATATATATATATATATATATATATATATATATATATATAAACAAAAAAATATATTATATTTTAATTTTTTAAAAATAAATTATTGCACTTGTTCGCACGGGTCCTTTACTAGTACATTATGATGATCAAAACATAGTCGAAATTATAATTTTTCAAAAAATTATATCTCAAAAATATTTTTTATGAAAAATCATATGAAATAACTTTAAAATTAAGTGATTTTTTAAAATTTTAATATCCAAAAAAGTGTCAATAAAATAATAAAATATCTAAACTAATATTTTAAAAATAATTATTTAAACTAAATTTTTATTAAAAAAGATTTTTAAATTATTTTTAGACCAAATTATATTATACAATAAAAAAACATTTTTAAAAAAAACCAAAACAATGCTATTTAAACGCCGGGTTGAGATCAAAATATCAATAGAAGAGATATTTGTAAATGCGTTAACAAGTTCAATACATTTAGGAAGCAATATGCTATCAGAGTTACAATTCTTGAGACCCAAATGGTTACATGTAACTCCATTGGCTCTATTCTATTTATACAAACATAATCTAAAGTTGTTTGAGATGTCTTTTAAGTTATACTTTTTTTTATTAAGTTATCTCTTTGTTTCAGCTTTAAAAAAAATTATATTTTTAAAAATAGATTTTATAAAATTATTTTTAAAATATTATAAATTTTTTTATATTTGTTTTTTAAAATTTAATGGCTGATTTTGATCTCTTATAACACAGAGATGTTGAAATTCAAAATGATAAAAACCGAATATTATTAAATGTGTTTGGATGACACTTTGAAAAAAAATTGTTCGGATTGGATTTCGGATTTAATTTTTAAAACCGATTGAAATACGAAGATCTTTACTATAACATAAACATACATTGTTAATTGATCAAAACATAGTCGAGATATTTGTAAATGCAAAAACTTCAATACATTTAAGATATCTGAGTTACAATTGTAGAGACCCATATGGTTACATGTAACTAAGCATGTAACAATAATCTTAAGGCAACAAATCTGATATCTCTAATTGAAAAGGAATTATATCAATTTTTTCATAACCATAAACAGCTTCAAACTCCTCAGTCTTTAAGTTACAAACAAAAACTCCATCAGCATAAGAATATAAATACACAATGTCCCTATCATAAGGATGAAACCCTGCAACCCTCTTATAATAATTTCCACAAAACTTTTCTGGCAATTTTCTCTTTATATCAATCCTATGCAACAAATCCCAATTATTCTTTTCAATAACTTCCCAAATTCTCAATTCATTTTGTCCAATTTCACCAATTCTTAACCCTCCACAAGAACTTCCAAGAAAACCAAAACTCATTATATTCATTGAATCAGCTTCTGATGGATAATCAAGTGTACAGCTATGGTTTGTATGAGGATTCATCACAAAAATGTTTGTCCTCCCCATGAAATACAAGCTTCCGTTATGCGAAAAACTTAGTAACCAATGGGGCGCAAAGGCGAATCCCTCTGGGATATTCATGACAACTTGTTTCCATTGTCCCGTGTCCGAAGAAAAAATATATAATTCAACCTCAAACATTCTTCTTATAAATGATTTTATGATCACGACTCGAAAGTCGCGTTCAGCTGAATAATAAGAAGTTATTTTTCTATCCTTAGTTAAAGGGTTACAAATAAACCCAACGGCGTATAAATTGTCATTACACTCCACGGGAGAGGGCGGTATAGGAATACATTCTTTAGTTAGTGGGTCATAAATATAATAGCCGCTACCGGACGTGTATCGGCCGTTACAACACAAGAATATCGGCCGTTACAACACAAGAATACACCGTGGGAGCAGCCGCATACTCGTCCTTTAACGAGCAATTCCGGCGGAAAAGTTATGGGAATTTCTATATGATCATAATTTTTAGTTTGTTGTAAAAAGGCCAACACAATTTCATGAGGTGTGACAAACATTAATATTGATTTGAAAAAAGAGTGCTGAAGAGATGTGAGTTGTTTTTTGAAATAAGGGGTTGAAATTAACTCCAACCATCTTTTTGAAACGCATTTGCATCCAATGGTGGATTTGAAACATTAATTATATCATAAAATGCTTTTGAAACAGGATGTGACAGTGATCGGTTCTAGTGTATCAAGAAAAATGCAATGCAAGAAAGGTGTTTGATGAAATGCCACACTGAAATTTGATTTTGTGTCTATATTCCGGTTGGCATCTACTTAATTTTTCAAACAACATTGTTCTTTGAGATCTAACAACCTATAGCCTATATCTATCACATTAATGAAACAATTGTTATCGTTGTTGTTTCTAATCTCACTAGACTTCCCTTTAGTTCAACAAGCTTCAAGGTTTTCCAACAAAAGTGCACAGATAGAATAGATTAGGGGAGAAAGCTTAAACTTGCTTTCAAAAACGGAGGAGATTCTACCAAGTTTCAGTAGCAAGTAAAATTTACAATATAGTGGCATAAACAATTAGTAACTTTCATTTAAACAAAACAATGAATTAAGAATACTAGAAATTAGCAACAAAATTAGCAACAGCAACAACAAGAAAAAGAAAAAAGTGGCAAATTGACTATACCAAAAGATATCCAAAGAAAACAAAACCAAAAGACAAGAATAGAGAGTTAAGTCCGAAATATTCCAAGAGCATAGAAGCAGCAGAGGTTGATCTAGAATGGTTGTGCTGAGATGAAGTAGGAGGAGGAGGTAGTGGATGAACAAGAACAGAGACTTTCATTCCATTTAAGCATTGGCCATTACCACAAATGAAGTAATATCTGATAGTCTTATTCAGTAATATGAAATCTTTCCCACTAGACCAATTTCCAACAGCACTGTCTAAGGTGCAGTTGTCATAACCAGTTTGGTTCACTTGAAACACATTGTACTGATTCTTCTGATACCTAAACGCTATTATAAAAATTAAAGAGGTTATTCAATATAAACAAATCGTATGAAAAGAAGTGGTGAAAATAGAAAGTAATAATGAGTAGTTACAGATGAAGTCGCCGACATAGAAAGTGTGGTTATTGGCCCAAAGAGTGTAGTTCATGCCAGGGTTCCAGCCACGGTTGGCACCTACGATGTGGTCGGTTGCAGAAACAGGAAGAGGAGAGAATGTGAAGAGAAAAACGAAGAAGAAGAAGAATGAGGAAGAAAGAGCCATGTTAGGTTGAGATTGAAAGAGGTATGGTTGTTTTTGTTATATTACTTTGGATTTGGTTGGAGAGAAGCAACGGTAACATTAGATTTGACACGCTGTCAATTATTTGATTGGGGTCCTATAAAGCTGGCAGACGGTCACTGATTCATTAGCTGGCTGGATCAGAGTGTCGCTACACACATGCCTCTTTATTTTTTATTTTCAAAATGTAAACAAACTTATCCTTCTATTCGTTTCGCATTATTCTTGTTTTTTTATGGTAATATCATTATTCAATTAGACTGAATTTTCATAAGAGTCTTGGTTGGAGGAGGTTTCGATGGTGTGTACTAAATTGCAAGCTACTTTAATGGCAATTCATATGTTTATATAATTTTTAGATGCTCAACAAACTCCATCTCAATTTTTCTAAAGATCTCTCAATCATTCATACTGCATGCTCATTAAAAAGTGATGTGATTTTGTTGTATCATTTTGTTGTAACTTGTTCACCGAGTGTGCAGTGACAATTATTTGTAAATAGAAAGTGATGTGATTTTTAAATGATGTAAATAGAAAGTGGTGTGATTTCTTGTTTATGTGATAATATCATAGTGCTGGTGATTATTGAAAAGTCTTTTGAATTTGGGCGATTCAAAGTCCACCGTAGTTGTTGGTATTTTTATGAAATCAAAAAAAGAATGTATTTCTTTTTTTATTAACAGTTAACAATATTATCACAAATCATTGATTCATCTGGTATATAAATATACGATTCATTTACGAGTTTACTAGATCGATAATTTGCATTTTTGAACATCCAAAATTACTATAGATAATGTCACATTCAGTAAAGATTTATGATACATGTATAGGATGTACTCAATGTGTCCGAGCCTATCCCACAGATGTATTAGAAATGATACCTTGGGGTGGATGTAAAGCTAAGCAAATAGCTTCTGCCCCAAGAACAGAGGACTGTGTTGGTTGTAAGAGGTGTGAGTCCGCTTGTCCGACGGATTTCTTAAGTGTTCGAGTTTATTTATGGCATGAAACAACTCGAAGTATGGGTCTCGCTTATTGATTCGTTTCAAAAAACACCACACGAATACGTTTTTTACTGGCAAAAACTCGTGTTCAAAATAAAAAAGAAAAAAATTCTATTTTATTTTGAGCATGGGCTTTTCTGGCCCAAGTGTATCTTATTTTTATCACGAATTTTTTTCCTTGGTTAACAATAGTTGTTGTTTTCCCAATAGCCGCAGGTTCCTTAATTTTCTTATTTCCTCATAGGGGAAATAAGGTAATTAGGTGGTATAGCATTTGTATATGCTTAATCGATCTCCTTCTAACAACCTATGCATTTTGTTATCATTTCCAATTGGATGATCCACTAATTCAACTGACGGAGAATTATAAATGGATCCATTTTTTTGATTTTTACTGGAGATTAGGAATAGATGGACTCTCTATAGGACCTATTTTACTGACAGGATTGATAACTAATTTAGCCACTTTAGCAGCTCAGCCGGTTACTCGAAAATACCAATTATTTTATTTCCTGATGTTAGCAATGTATAGCGGTCAAATAGGACCATTTTCTTCTCGAGACATTTTACTTTTTTTCATCATGTGGGAATTGGAATTAATTCCCGTTTATCTACTTTTATCCATGTGGGGGGAAAGAAACGTTTGTATTCAGCTACAAAGTTTATTTTGTACACTGCAGGAGCTTCTGTTTTTTTATTAATGGGAATTCTGGGTATTGGTTTATATGGCTCTAATGAACCAACATTTAATTTTGAAACATTAATTAATCAATCATATCCCGTGGCACTAGAAATAATATTCTATACGGCATTTCTTATTGCTTTTGCTGTCAAATCGCCGATTATACCCTTACATACATGGTTACCAGATACCCACGGAGAGGCCCATTACAGCACTTGTATGCTTTTAGCCGGAATCTTATTAAAAATGGGAGCATATGGGTTGGTTCGAATTAATATGGAATTTTTTTTCCCACGCTCATTCCATATTTTGCCCCTGGTTAATGATATTAGGTTGTATTCAAATAATCTATGCCGCTGCAACATCTTTTGGTCAACGGAATCTAAAAAAAAGAATCGTTTATTCTTCCGTATCTCATATGGGTTTTATAATTATAGGAATTGGTTCTATAAGTGATACTGGTCTCAACGGGGCCATTTTACAAATAATATCTCATGGATTTATTGGCGCTGCCCTTTTTTTCTTGGCAGGAACTAGTTATGATAGACTGCGTCTTCTTTATCTTGACGAAATGGGCGGAATGGCTATCCCAATGCCAAAAATATTCACTATTTTCACTATCTTATCAATGGCTTCTCTTGCATTGCCTGGCATGAGCGGTTTTGTTGCAGAATTGATAGTTTTTTTTGGAATACAAAGATCTAATAATAATGAAAATATCTCATGGGGTATGAGTGTACTAAATTTACCCTGAATTGATAAGGGGAATTAGTCTACGTCGTTGTTTTTTATTTTTATGTACTTTACTACATAAATTCATCAACATATTTCTGAAAAGATAAGCACATAATAACATCTCTAAAATAATTGAAAAAATATTAAAGTCTAATTCCCCTCTTAAATTTCACACTCATACTTACAATTGACATCAAATCAGGTTAAGATAACTTGTTCCTTGATCCAGAAATATAGCTTCCGCTAACCCGATTTATAGAGATGGTGGTAGTACCAACAAACCTACTTGCTTTCTTGGTGAAAATTATGACTTTAGGAAGATTTACATGCAAGCGTACTTGGAATTACAAGGAGAAGATATATGGGATGTTGTTGAAATGACCCATATATTCCTAAGAGGGTGATCAATGAAGTATAACATATCATAGTAAAAGGCTCGTGGAATAATAATGATAAAAAGAAAGTTTTATTTGACAATAAGGTTAAAAACGTGCTTCAATCGCCCTAGGTGTGAATGAATTATTTCGTATATCTCATGGTAAAACATCAAAAGATATTTGAGACACTTTAGAAGTGACTCATGAAGGAACGATACATGTAAAAAGATCTAAGTTAAATATTGTATCGCAAGAATATGAATTATTTTTAATGCAACCCTATGAATCTATTCTTGATATGGAAAAGAGATTTAGTCATTTAACAAATCATTTGATGATACTTGGTAAAACTTTTACAAATGATGAATTAAATCTAAAACTGCTTAGATCTTTGACAAAAGTTTGGCAACCAAAGGTAACAACTATTTCATAAAAGAAAATTCTTTCAAAAATGTCTTCTGCAACGTTGTTCAGTAAACTTAAAGAACCAAGACAGAACTTCGAAAAATAGAAAGGCATGAAGATGAAAGAAAGAATTCAAAACGTCTTGCCTTAAATACTATAGAAAAAATAATGATATCAATCAAGAGGATGAGTTCACTAATGATGAAGATAATCATCTTATCGAAAGTTCTGAAAAGTTCTTACGAAAATAAAGGAAAAAGAAGATCATTCAGAAAGAAGTACCAATAAGTACTAATATATATTATTTTCCATATTTGATAGAAGTACAAATGAGATAAACTTATAGGCTAAGTGCAAGTAGCTAATCATTTCGACATTATGATCCAAGGTTCGATAGAAGACGCCTTTGATATAAGAAGTTATGGGATTTATAAGGGAAGTTTAAAATAGCAAGATCGATTCAAATGTTGAAGACACGTGGAGACAGACTAGAAGGTTGAAGCCCACATAAGGGAATACGTGTTGAATCATGTGAAGATAACCATTATTGAAGGTTAACATTGGAATAATATATAAGGCAAGTTTAGTCATGTAAACAAAGGTCGCGAAATTCATTAATTATTCTCTATAGAACTTAAGTATCCAAGTCACAGAGAGAAAAGAGTTTGTGAGAAAATATATGAATTTTAGTTCTTTACATTTGAAGCATTTATCTTTTATATTCTTTGTTTTCTCTTTATTTTCAAAGCTATTTTGCATTGTTTCAGTTAAAGTTTATATTTAAATTTGTAGTGTTATATTTGCAAAAGACCTTGCCTAGGGAGATGCCCTGGAACCGCTATAGGAGAGGCGATGACAAAAGGTCGCCCAGAGGGAGGTATCGCCTCGCCCTTGATTTTTTCCTCGCCTATACGAGAAAAATGTGGGATAAGATGTATCTTGGATAAAAATATATGTAGGGTCATTAGTGACTCACATGTCCTTCGGAAGTATGGGTTCAATTGTCCATTATTTGACTAGGTGGGTAATGGCATTTTTTTAGAAAACCCTAGGTTATAGAGACCCATATAATATGTCACTCATTAATGGGATAAAGGGAAAACTATAAGTTATACACATAATTTTTAAACCTAAAAGAGCATCACACGACCTATAACCATAACACATGATTATTCTAATTGTCTTCCTACAATAAAGTAGCGTCAACCACCAAAAAGGTCTCTCACCTCACGTGAGCTGGTCCCCTAAACAACCTCAAACACCATCGAATAAGACTTCTCGCCTCTATGAGCAGGCCCACAACACCAAAATGTATTATACACATACTAAGGCCTATGAGTCTCCTTGCTCTTGCAGGGGGAACACTCACACCTGTACGTTTTGACCAGTAACTAGCGCCCACCGTAAGGCCAGGGTAAAACCAACATGGGCCATACTTTTCACTCCAACCCTATCATCCCCCTTTTTCGGATTTGACTAATAGGTTTCCACGTTACAAAGCCAACACCATTGTCGGAGGTATCTTTAGGAAGGGCCTTTCCAGATCCGCCCAAAGAAGATATGCGAAATAGGCATTCATGACAAGCGTCATAGCCCCCGACTCATTATTGATTTACATCTCCCTTAGAAGTAGGGATTCAACTGTATATTATTTGACTAGGTGGGTGACATTTTTCAAGAAAACCTAGGTCATAAAGGCCCCTATAAATATGTCACCCCTCAGGCGATAATAGACAGACTCTAAGTCATATACGTAATCCACAACCTAAAAGAGCA